ATAGTCGTATCCTTTCCGAGACCTACAAAAGGAGAAAGTAAGTAAACTCATGTTTGAAAAAATGCTTGAACGATAGGCAAATCGGTAAGTTAGGAAGAAGGCTTACCATGAGTACGAGCCTCCCACTGGCCCTTTGACAAATCATGCCATGCGCGCTCGGCATATGTTGACGTCGAAACCAGGCTCCTGACCTAGATCTCGAGGTGGGGAATCGTACCCGGCATCCAAGCAATGGTTGCATCGAGAAAAACACTGATAAGAAAATATAAAGAAGTAAAAACAACGAACAAAAATTAAAGATGGAATCATGCTTACATTTCATATTCTATTTCTCAGGAAATGGCATGCTCTCAGCCAGGATTAGGTCCGTGGTCTTCACCCGAATGAACCGGCCCATCCAGCCCCAATATTTGTCTTTATCTATACTCGAGATGAGCGCCTTGGTGGCCCGGCGTTGAAGCTTTATCAGCCCACCTCGATAAAGTCGAGGGCTATATAATCTTATGAGGTGGTCAAGGGTGAAGGGAAGTTCGTCGATTTTGCTCATGAAGAAACGGAGCAGTATCACGATCCTCCAGAAAGAAGGGCAATTTGGCCGAGGGTCACCTGGTATTTCTTGCAGTAGTCTACGATGACCGGATCGAGGGGACCCAACGTGAAAGGATAAGTGTAAACACTCAAGAACCCTTCCATGTGGGTGGTGATCGCTTCTTCCGGTGCCGGTATCATAACTTCCTTGTTTTCCCAGTTGCAATCTTTCTTCACCAGATCAAGGAGGCTTTTGGATATCGAGCATATATATCTTGATACCGGCTCGGATCGACCAGGAACCGATGAGGGTTTCTTAACCTTAAAGTCGGAATCAATGACACACCCCCCGGGAATAAGTTCTTCAGGGCATGGCTCCACCATTGGTTTCTCGCCGGCCGACCGAGATGAGGAAGCAACCTCTTTCTGCGAAACAGTTTTAGATGTTTTGGCCATTTAGTTTTTCTGGGCAAAGAAGAATGGAGAGTGAAGTATTTGGTGTTTTAGGAAGAACAAGCAAAGAAACTCAAAAATCTGAAGATAGAAAGCTTTGGAGAAGGCGAATAACTATGAAGATTGGAATGAAAAAGATTTGAAAGTAAAAGTTTGAAATAATGAAGAGGGGGCTATTTATCGGTTTCACAATGACGGTTCAAAATTAGTAGTGGCCGACCATCGACTAACGTGTATTTAATGCCTTGGTAACTGAACCGACGGGACGTTTGTCGCATACGTCACAATTGGGCTCGTCGCTGATGTCATTGCTCTTCTAATTGGAGTTCAAAAATTCATATCGTTTCTCGCTATCTTCTTTCCAAGAAATGAGGGGACTACATGTATACGGTCAAAACCGAGTTTGCCCTCTAAGATTGGAACATGATGGATCGAAGTTCATCATTATAATATCGTGCCATGATGCGAAGTTAGGTTGTCGAGCTCGAGCCCCAGAGACCGATCAAGATCGAGATTGGCCAAGATCGAGCTCGAGACCCAGAAACCGATCAAGATCGAGATCATCCAAGATCGAGCTCGAGAACCGGAGACCGATCAAGACAGAGATCGGCCAAAATCGAGGTCGAACAAATCGAGACCAATCAAGATCGAGCCAAGAAACAAAAAAGACCTTATAGCCGTAATTAGGGGGAGAATCTCGGCGGAAACCATGGCACAAATCAAGGAGAGACTAATTAATTAATCTATCATGGGATCCCCACCATGTATTTTTAATTATATTCAAAATAAGATTTCCCCACTATATTAAGGGTTGTTATTATCTGTACATAAAGAGGTCAGATTCATTTAGATTTATAGAACATAAAGCAAATACTATCCTTTTCAGGGCTTTGATATTTAGTCATATTGTTCCCCTATCAATAACTCTCCATTCAATTTGAAGGTGATAAAACTTGAAGGCTTAGGCTAATTAATTCGTTCGGTTTGCATTCATTTTTCTTTTACAGCTAATTTCAATATTCATTTACTTATTTTTTCCAATTTGTACTAAGTTACACTACGTATCCTTAGAACTATGTATAAATTCAATTGCTATCCATTTTTCAGGTAAACAACATCTAATCAGCTCCATACTGCAATTAAAAGTGCCTCAGAATTTGATAGCATTGTTGATAACCAAGGTCTATCTCCCAGAGTCAAACCAGCCCAGTACAATACTAGAAGCAAAGTCACCAGTTTTAAAACTCCACCAAAATCCAAAAAAACCAAATATCTTTAATGATTAGTACAATCATTTGGAATGCTAGAGGCATCAGAACTGCTGGTGCACTTGAAAGACTCAAAACTTTGAAACAACTTTATAAATTATCCTTCATTTCTGTTCTGTAACCTTTTTTAGACAACAACCATATCAACCTATATAAAATCCAATTATCTATGGACCACTCAGCCTCAAACATCAACAACAAAATCTGGGTTTTCTGGGATAATGAGTTCAATAGTACTGTCTTGAACCATGATGAACAACAACTTACCATAGAGTTGAAGCATGTAGAAGCATGTAGAAGCCGTCCATATCACTATTGTTTATGCCAAATTCAATATTGTCCTTAGAAGACCTCTCTGGGATTTCTTGAGGCATAAATCCATGGTATGTATTATACCATGGTGTGTTATAGGTGACTTCAATGTCATTGCTTCTGCTGCTGAGAAGATTGGTGGCCTTCCCTATCAGATTAACAAGGGCATGGACTTTATCAGTATGATTGAAGACTGTGGACTTCATGATCTTGGCTATTCTGGATCAAGATGCGCCTGGTCCAATGGCAGAGGGTAGTGTTCTATTGTGTGGAAGAGACTTGACAGGGGTATTGTTAATGATCACTGGCTTTCCTCCTTCCCTGCTACTACAATTAAACACCTAGCCTCTATAGGTTCAAACCATAATCCCCTATTTATGGAACTAAATATTAGGCACGACAGTGGCAAGAGGTATTTCAAATTCCTCAATTGTTGGGTCGATCATGAAGGCTTCATGCCTTTAGTTACTAAGGTCTGGAACAAGGAATTACGTGGGAATGCTATGTGTATTTTCCATCAGAAGCTCAAAACTTTATCAAATGCATTGAGTACTTAGTCTAGGCAAGAGTATGGAGATATTTTTCAAAAAACCAAGGAATATGAGGAACAAGTGAAGCAAGCATAAATGATTTGGGCTCAATCTAATCAAGTAGCTGACAGAATAAAGCTTCAAGAGTTAACTGCAAAATACATTAGATACATGATACTAGATGAGAGTATTCTAAAATAAAAGACTCAACTGCACTGGTTCAAGGATGGGGATGCTAATACAAGTTATTTCCACAGCTTAATCAGAGGAAGAAGAAGGAAAATATTCATTCACAAGATCAAAGATGCAAATGGAGATTGGGTTCAATGTGATGAAAATATTGGAGATGCAGCTTGTGAATACTATCATGAGTTGTTTTCAGATCCTGGGGGAGTTATCAGGGAAGACCTGCTATCCTGTATTTCTCATATGCTCTCTGTAGAAGACAATGCTACTCTAACACAGGACCCTACCATCTCTGAACTGAAGCAAGTAGTTTTCTCCATGAGCCCTACAAGTGCAGCAGGCCCTGGTGGCATGAATGGCAAGTTCTTGCAAGTCTGTTGGGAGGTGATCAAGACTGACCTACAAAATATGGTCCTGGATTTCTTTGGAGGATACACTATGCCCAAATACATGACCAATGCATGTCTAGTAATGCTGTCTAAAGTTAAATTCTCTAATTTCTTAACAGAGTTCAGGCCCATCAGCTTAAGCAACTTTGTCAACAAAGTAATTTCTAAGATCTTGTGTTCAAGATTGGGCCACATTCTTCCAAGAATCATTTTAGCCAACCAATATGGATTTGTTAAAGGGAGAAGCATATCTGAGAACATAATGCTTGCTCAAGAAATTGTGCAGGGAATCAAAAAACCAAATAAAGAATCTAATATAGTTATCAAGTTAGATATGGCAAAGGCCTATGACAGAGTATCCTGGAGCTATACTTGTATCATGCTGAGGAGAATGGGTTTTAATGAACTCTTTATGTACAAGATCTGGAGAACCATGTCCAATAACTGGTACTCAGTTATTGTTAATGGAACCAGGTTTGGCTTCTTCAAATCTACCAGAAGATTGAAATAAGGGGATCCATTGGCACCGGGACTATTCATCATAGTAGCAGAACTCATATCCAAAAATGCTCAATATGCTTGGCCATGATCAATTTTTTAATGGCTTCTACATGGAGAAGAGGGGGCCACAAATCAAACATCTGAGCTTTGCAGATGACATAATCATATTCACATCTGGAGGCAGAAAATCTCTTCATAAGATCATGATGATTTTGGATAATTATGAAGACATCTCAGGCCAACATATCAACAGGCACAAAAGTCATTTTATGACTTCTCCTTGTGCATTCCCAGCTACTATCAGAAGGGTGCAAGATGTGACAGGTTTCACTAAGAAGGAATCCCCCCTTACCTACTTGGGCTGCCCCCTCTACACTGGAAGAAAGAGAATTGTCCACTTTAATGACCTTGTGGACAAAGTAGTGGGCAGAATCAAAGGTTGGCAAAGAAAGATGATGTCTTATGGAGGAAGAGAAACTTTGATTAGATATGTTCTGCAGTCTCTTCCTGTCCATCTCCTTTCAGCTGTCTCACCTCCAAAGAGTGTAATGAAGCATATACAAAAGCTAGCAGCAAATTTCTTTTGGAGCATGGAAAAAGATAAAAACAATTACCATTGGGCTTAATGGCAGAAACTGTCATACCCACAGGAGGAAGGAGGAATTGCATTTAGGTCTATATAAGATACTTGCACATCAATGGAGTTCAAACAATGGTGGTTGTTCAGAACTAAACCATCATTGCGGAGCAACTTCTTGAGAGCCAAATTTTGTCAGAGATCTAACCCTATTTCAAAAAAATGGAAATTTGTCCAATCACACGCATGGAAAAGAATGACGATGAACAGGAAAAAAACTGAAGACTACATCAGATGGAATCTCCACTCTAACAATTGCAGCTTATGGTGGGACAACTGGTTAGGCACTGGTCCTCTTGTAGGTTTTAGAAATGGAGGACCTAAGCCAGGCAACATCAAAGTATCATAGTTTTGGGATAATGGCCAATGGTGTTTTCAGAAATTGAATGGATTTGCTCCTACTCACAAAATTTCAGAAATCATGCACACTCTTATTCAATATAGACCTGCTGCCTTGGACAAGGCTATTTGGACACCCAATATCATAGGAAAGTTCACTAACAAACTAACTTGGCACAAAAAGATACCCTTTAAATGGTCCTTTTGTGTATGGAGGGCCCTCAGAAATAAGCTACCAACAGATGACAAGGTGCTTCAGTTCAGCAGCCTTACTGTAACTAGATGTGTGTGTTGCAACACACCAGCAGCAGGGAATGCTGACCACATTTTCAGTCATGGTAACTTTGCCAAACTAGTTTGGAGAAAATATGGAGGGCCTGCTGGTGTCCAAACAGAAGATCTAACTCTAAGACTACTCCTCATGAAATGGTGGCTCATAAAGAGATCAAATGAAGTAGATAAATTGATCCTTGACACACTGCCTATCATCATCTCATGGAATCTGTGAAAAAATAGGTGCAGTGCAAAATATGGTGCTAAAACTTCTTCCCTGACTAGAGTACTCCACTCTATTGATGCTGACATTCAATTGCTACTGAGTACCAACTACCCCACCATAAAATTGTCACTCAACTGGACTAAACTATATGGCTGCATTGAAAATATTCAGCATCACACCTCTATCAAAAAGGTAGCTTGGACAAGACCTGACACTACATCTGGAGAAATTAACACTGATGGTAGTGCTCTAACAAATTCTGGGTTGACTGGAGCTGGAGTTATTATCAGAGGAAGTTATGGTGAGTTCATTCTTGCCTTAACCTGTCCCTTAGGTGAAGGCACCAACAATTCAGCAGAAACAAAAGCAGCCATTTTAGGAGTTCAATGGTGTATTGCCAATGGTTTTACCAAAATACACTTGGAAGCAGATTCATCACTATTGAGTCATTGGCTCAACAATGATGGTGAGCCACCTTGGACACTACAGATACAAGTGCAGAAGCTGCAAAGCCTACTCCAACAGTGTGAGAAAATCTATTTTTCACATGTGTATAGGGAAGCCAATTGCCCAGCTGATTCTTTGTCAAAGCTTAGCCACAATCTGTTAACCATAACTAATTATTAGTCCATTCAATCCCTTCCTAATCATATCATAGGTCAGGTTCAGCAGGATCTTCTTGGCACACCTGCTTTTAGACACAAAAAAGCTACTAGGATCATCATACCACCACAACTTGCCTCTACTTCCAATTCATCATATGGTTCTGGTTGAAAAATATGAACTCAGGGGAGCAGACCTAATTTTCGAATCTACCATGAACAGTAGAATGGGAAAATTGTGCACCATGCAACAGTTAAATTCCATCCAGCCTTTAATATGGTGGAGAAATGACATCAGTAGAACAAAGGGCATACACCATAACCAAGCACAACAGGGAGAGGAAAGGAGGCCAGTTTTTACACTAACCTTGTTTCATATTTTTGCAGGAACATTAGGCATACTCAGAGTATTGGATGACATTAAATATGTGGTATTAGCACCTTGTGTGCTCATTCTGTTGAATGGTGGCCAATGCAATTGGATATGCCAACTCATTCTTGACCCTCAGCTGCAGCAGGTCCATCTCCAGCAATATGCCACTGCAGAGTACCAGCTGAACAGTCTCAGGAGTCCAAACTTAGCAAGCATGAATAGTCCAAACACTAGTATCCTGCAGCAAAAAACAAGACACTACACCAGATTCCTAAGAAGCCAGAAGCCATCAGTTCAACATGCTTGTTTCAAGAATTTTTTGGAACATACCAGGGATTTAGAACCGGTGTATGAATTCATTAGCATCGACAACAATTGGATGGTTCAAATTTGTAGATTAGTATTTTTCATTTATCATTATGCTACTGCTTGTACTTGGTAGCAATAGCAATTGTCCTTCTTTGTTCTATTACTGTCACGACCCAAAATCCAACTAGTCGTAATGGCACCTAGCCCAACCCGCTAGGTAAGCCAACTTTCAACTATCCAATTCCAATAACAATTATTAAAGCAATTTAAGTAAATAAAGATCTTAATCTTATACATTCTCCAAGAACTAGTAGTACAAATCATGAGCTTCTAAGAATAGAGTTTACAAAGCGGAAATGAATTAAATACATAGTCTGTTTGAATAGTACATAAACAGAGTTTTTATAAATCTAAGGCTACCATGAACAAGAGGCAGCTACAACAGGAACGCGGGTATTTCTTCAAATCCGGCAACCATCGAGCACAGCAACAACAGCATCCAACATCTGTACGCAATGTGCAAAAGTGTAGTATCAGCACAACCGACCCCATGTACTGAGTAAGTAACAAACCTAGCCTTACGTTAAAAGTAGTGACGAGCTTTTACCAAGGTCGGTTCCCAAACCAATAGTCCACAACAGTCCATAACAACGTAAAGCAAATAATACCAGAAGTAACTTAGAGATAAAAATACTCAGCTAAATCATGATCTTTACGGACAACTCACATGTTGCACGACCAACTCACGTGCTATAATAATATCTGGATTCGTACGGACAACTCACGTGCTATAATAATATCTGGATCCGCACGGACAACTCACGTGCTATAATAATATCTGGATCCGCACGGACAACTCACGTGCTATAATAAAGCATATAAGGTCTGCTGCAGGCGGGCAACCCCGATCCACATAATAATCCTCACAATCAGGCCCTTGGCCTCACTCAGTCATCAATCTTTCCAGTCTCTCTCTCATGGGCTCACAATGTCATNGGGCAACCCTGATCCACATAATAATCCTCACAATCAGGCCCTTGGCCTCACTCAGTCATCAATCTTTCCAGTCTCTCTCTCATGGGCTCACAATGTCATGAAAATAGCCCTAAAATTATGATATGATGTATCAATAAATAACAACAGAGACTGAGATATGATATGTAATGACATGAATATGACTGAGTATGAATTTTTAATTTAAAATAAATAATTCACAGCAATATGACCTCTGTGGGTCTCCATAATACTGGCACATAGCCTCAATATGATTTTTAATATGCTTTTCAGCTCAATTTCTTTAACACATAGAACCGCATGGAAAATGCCAAAATTATTTAATTACAAAATTCCACAAAAACAATTATGTAATAATTTCTATAGTGCACGCTCACACGCCCACACGCCCGTCACCTAGCATATGCGTCACCTCCCAACAATTCACATAATATATATATTCAGGGTTCATACCCTCAACTCCAAGATTAGAATAGTTACTTACCTCGAACAAGCCAAATCCAATGTCGAGCAAGCTAAGTAATGCTCCAGAAATTCCATTCTGTGCGTATCAACTTCCAAACGGCTCGAATCTAGTCACAATTAATTTGATTCAGCCCACAAAAATTATAAGAATTTATACCATATCAAAATACTAATATTTTTCACAAAATCTGAAATTACGCCCAAAAATATTACATGTGGGACCCGCATCTCGAAATCCAACAAAACTCATAAAATACAACAACCCATCCAATTACAAGTTCAACCATACTAATTTCACTCAAATCCGACTCCGAATCGTTATTCAAACTCGAAACATTCGTTTTGTGACATTATAGAAAATTTCTTCTATTTCTCTTGAAGATTCGATAATCTTACACCAAAAATGAAGATTAATTCATGAAATATAATTACAAGGGAGTCAAGAACACTTACCCCAAGTTGTGTGGAAACTTTCCTCTCCAAAATCGCCCAAACCGAGCTTCTAAATCCGAAAATGGGTGAAAAATGTCTAACCCTCGAATATAAAGGTTCTGTCCAGTCAATCCGCATATGCAAAGAGTATTTGCACACCTGCGTCTCCGCTTGTGCGAGAAAAACGTCGCATTTGCGGACTTGACTTGCCTGCCCAGTATGCGCATCTGCGAGGAAACCATCGCATTTGCGGGAAAGACATCGCAGATGCAAAAATTCTCAACTTCCAGCCATCTCGCTTCTGCGCGCATCCTTCCGCATCTGTGCTCACGCAGATGCGGAATTTTCCCTCGCACCTGTGATCAATGCTTCACAGCCCCCTGCCCGCATCTGCGCTTTCCAGGCTCGCTTCTGCGAGCTCGCACCTGCGATGGAATTTCCGCAGGTGCGATTGCATTCTAAGTCCAAATTTGATCTGTTAACCATCCGAAACTCACCCGAGCCCCTCGGGACCCCGTCCGAACATACCAACAAGTCCCATAACATAACACGGACCTACTCGAGGCCTCAAAACACACATAACAATATCAATATGATGAATCACACCTCAATTCGAAATTATTAAACTTTGAAACTTCAAATTCTATATCTTGTGCCGAAACACATCAATAAATCTGGAATGACTTCAAATTTTTCACACAAGTCACATTTCACATTACGGACCTATTCCAATTTCCAGAATTGAATTTCGACCCTGATATAAAAAAATCAACTCCCCGGTCAAACTTACCAAAAATTCAATTTTTTTTTGCATTTCAAGCCAAATTTCACTATGTACCTCCAAATAATTTTTTGGATACGCTCCTAAGTCATAAATCACCATACAGAGCTATTGGAATCATCAAAACTCCATTCCGGGGTCGTTTACACATAAGCCGATATCTGATCACTATTTTAACTTAAGCTTTAAACCTTGGAACTAAGTATTCCAATTCATTCCAAAACCTTACTGGACCCGAACTATTTACTCCAAAAATTCACACAACAACTGTAAAGTACAATTTGAGCAGTAAATGGTGAAACGGGGTTGAAATATTCAAAACGACCGGCCGGGTCGTTACATTCTCCCCACCTTAAACATACGTTCGTCCTTGAACGTGCCAAGAGTTATTTCCAAGCCATCAAATCACTGTTCTATCTTACCACACACGTATCCGGGGGTGATCTCACATCACCCTATTCTATATAGGCCTGACCACACAACATAACTGAAAATCGTTAATTTAACCTTAGCCCAAAACCCGTGGAGCCAAATTTCTAACATCCAAAATTCTTTTCAAGACCTGAATCTCACATCTACACACTGTATAAGTCCGAACAAGCTGCATCGAGCTATAACTATAACCACAGATATAATCACCCAGCATATTACACAACTCGCATGCTCGTAGCACCATTCCTGATCACAGCAACTACTCTAAAACCAATCAAGTACTAGTATTAAACCCCATATCGAACCAAACTTCATCCCAAAACCTTTGTACACTGTTGATAATAAAAGAAACATGCAGAAATCTTAGGACCCCTTATCAGATCAACAAGACATGGAGCTCTCTCACCCCAACCAGAACCTTAATCACTTTTTAAGCTGAATTTTAATATTATCCTCTCGAATATATCATTTCAAACCTGATAGTATCCATTCCAGGTTCAATGACCTTATTTTACTAAACACATCTATTCTACAGACATGTCGCACTAATATAACTCAGAGCCATAACCTATGCCATTCGTGCACCCATAAGCAATAATTCAAATGAACTCATTCGTGGAAAATAACTCAAATGAGAGTACTGCCTCGCTAGATTAACAAGTACCGCCACAAGAAATACTAAAAATCCATCACACACCGTAGAACCATCACATGATTCTGACACAAGGTTCATACCTTAACATAACTCCGCTACAATGCGCAACCTCATCCAAACATTGGTCCATATTATCTACCTCGAGTCACCCTGCTCAAAATCAATAACCACACGCAATCTGACATCAAGTACTCAAAGTGCATTACATAACCATGTAGAAGCAAATGACACAATGCCACACAAACCCGAAAGAACATAACCCATACGCAATCAATCATGCAATACCCAAATACTCATATTGTTCAAATTCCGCCATAAGGCCCCCAATAGAACTGCACCATGTGTGCACATAACCAATGAATCACAACTCCTCGTAGCATAAAGGAGTAACTCACAGATTATCTCAGAACACGAATAAGCTCAACATCAACCGAATGACACATTCTTCGACAATAGTAGTACGGAGCCAACCAATCCGACTCGGTGTATAATACACCTCCTAATTGGGCCTACCAATGGACCCCCAAATCAACTCTGGTCACCCACAATAAATAAATAACCCTC